ATTGTTAAGTTCCGAAATAATTATTCCCATAATAATTCACTAAAATTTCTGTATCAATGTATTTTTTATTCTAAAAATTACAAAAAATAAATATAAAATTGTTAAGTTCCGAAATAATTATTCCCATAATAATTCACTAAAATTTCTGTATCAATGTATTTTTTATTCTAAAAATTACAAAAAATAAATATAAAATTGTTAAGTTCCGAAATAATTATTCCCATAATAATTCTCTAAAATTTCTGTATCAATGTATTTTTTATTCTAAACATTACAAAAAATAAATATAAAATTGTTAAGTTCCGAAATAATTATTCCCATAATAATTCACTAAAATTTCTGTATCAATGTATTTTTTATTCTAAAAATTACAAAAAATAAATATAAAATTGTTAAGTTCCGAAATAATTATTCCCATAATAATTCACTAAAATTTCTGTATCAATGTATTTTTTATTCTAAAAATTACAAAAAATAAATATAAAATTGTTAAGTTCCGAAATAATTATTCCCATAATAATTCACTAAAATTTCTGTATCAATGTATTTTTTATTCTAAAAATTACAAAAAATAAATATAAAATTGTTAAGTTCCGAAATAATTATTCCCATAATAATTCACTAAAATTTCTGTATCAATGTATTTTTTATTCTAAAAATTACAAAAAATAAATATAAAATTGTTAAGTTCCGAAATAATTATTCCCATAATAATTCACTAAAATTTCTGTATCAATGTATTTTTTATTCTAAAAATTACAAAAAATAAATATAAAATTGTTAAGTTCCGAAATAATTATTCCCATAATAATTCACTAAAATTTCTGTATCAATGTATTTTTTATTCTAAAAATTACAAAAAATAAATATAAAATTGTTAAGTTCCGAAATAATTATTCCCATAATAATTCACTAAAATTTCTGTATCAATGTATTTTTTATTCTAAAAATTACAAAAAATAAATATAAAATTGTTAAGTTCCGAAATAATTATTCCCATAATAATTCACTAAAATTTCTGTATCAATGTATTTTTTATTCTAAAAATTACAAAAAATAAATATAAAATTGTTAAGTTCCGAAATAATTATTCCCATAATAATTCACTAAAATTTCTGTATCAATGTATTTTTTATTCTAAAAATTACAAAAAATAAATATAAAATTGTTAAGTTCCGAAATAATTATTCCCATAATAATTCACTAAAATTTCTGTATCAATGTATTTTTTATTCTAAAAATTACAAAAAATAAATATAAAATTGTTAAGTACCGAAATAATTATTCCCATAATAATTCACTAAAATTTCTGTATCAATGTATTTTTTATTCTAAAAATTACAAAAAATAAATATAAAATTGTTAAGTTCCGAAATAATTATTCCCATAATAATTCACTAAAATTTCTGTATCAATGTATTTTTTATTCTAAAAATTACAAAAAATAAATATAAAATTGTTAAGTTCCGAAATAATTATTCCCATAATAATTCACTAAAATTTCTGTATCAATGTATTTTTTATTCTAAAAATTACAAAAAATAAATATAAAATTGTTAAGTTCCGAAATAATTATTCCCATAATATTTCACTAAAATTTCTGTATCAATGTATTTTTTATTCTAAAAATTACAAAAAATAAATATAAAATTGTTAAGTTCCGAAATAATTATTCCCATAATAATTCACTAAAATTTCTGTATCAATGTATTTTTTATTCTAAAAATTACAAAAAATAAATATAAAATTGTTAAGTTCCGAAATAATTATTCCCATAATAATTCACTAAAATTTCTGTATCAATGTATTTTTTATTCTAAAAATTACAAAAAATAAATATAAAATTGTTAAGTTCCGAAATAATTATTCCCATAATAATTCACTAAAATTTCTGTATCAATGTATTTTTTATTCTAAAAATTACAAAAAATAAATATAAAATTGTTAAGTTCCGAAATAATTATTCCCATAATAATTCACTAAAATTTCTGTATCAATGTATTTTTTATTCTAAAAATTACAAAAAATAAATATAAAATTGTTAAGTTCCGAAATAATTATTCCCATAATAATTCACTAAAATTTCTGTATCAATGTATTTTTTATTCTAAAAATTACAAAAAATAAATATAAAATTGTTAAGTTCCGAATTAATTATTCCCATAATAATTCACTAAAATTTCTGTATCAATGTATTTTTTATTCTAAAAATTACAAAAAATAAATATAAAATTGTTAAGTTCCGAAATAATTATTTCCATAATAATTCACTAAAATTTCTGTATCAATGTATTTTTTATTCTAAAAATTACAAAAAATAAATATAAAATTGTTAAGTTCCGAAATAATTATTCCCATAATATTTCACTAAAATTTCTGTATCAATGTATTTTTTATTCTAAAAATTACAAAAAATAAATATAAAATTGTTAAGTTCCGAAATAATTATTCCCATAATATTTCACTAAAATTTCTGTATCAATGTATTTTTTATTCTAAAAATTACAAAAAATAAATATAAAATTGTTAAGTTCCGAAATAATTATTCCCATAATAATTCACTAAAATTTCTGTATCAATGTATTTTTTATTCTAAAAATTACAAAAAATAAATATAAAATTGTTAAGTTCCGAAATAATTATTCCCATAATAATTCACTAAAATTTCTGTATCAATGTATTTTTTATTCTAAAAATTACAAAAAATAAATATAAAATTGTTAAGTACCGAAATAATTATTCCCATAATAATTCACTAAAATTTCTGTATCAATGTATTTTTTATTCTAAAAATTACAAAAAATAAATATAAAATTGTTAAGTTCCGAAATAATTATTTCCATAATAATTCACTAAAATTTCTGTATCAATGTATTTTTTATTCTAAAAATTACAAAAAATAAATATAAAATTGTTAAGTTCCGAAATAATTATTCCCATAATATTTCACTAAAATTTCTGTATCAATGTATTTTTTATTCTAAAAATTACAAAAAATAAATATAAAATTGTTAAGTTCCGAAATAATTATTCCCATAATAATTCACTAAAATTTCTGTATCAATGTATTTTTTATTCTAAAAATTACAAAAAATAAATATAAAATTGTTAAGTTCCGAAATAATTATTCCCATAATAATTCACTAAAATTTCTGTATCAATGTATTTTTTATTCTAAAAATTACAAAAAATAAATATAAAATTGTTAAGTTCCGAAATAATTATTCCCATAATAATTCACTAAAATTTCTGTATCAATGTATTTTTTATTCTAAAAATTACAAAAAATAAATATAAAATTGTTAAGTACCGAAATAATTATTCCCATAATAATTCACTAAAATTTCTGTATCAATGTATTTTTTATTCTAAAAATTACAAAAAATAAATATAAAATTGTTAAGTTCCGAAATAATTATTTCCATAATAATTCACTAAAATTTCTGTATCAATGTATTTTTTATTCTAAAAATTACAAAAAATAAATATAAAATTGTTAAGTTCCGAAATAATTATTCCCATAATATTTCACTAAAATTTCTGTATCAATGTATTTTTTATTCTAAAAATTACAAAAAATAAATATAAAATTGTTAAGTTCCGAAATAATTATTCCCATAATAATTCACTAAAATTTCTGTATCAATGTATTTTTTATTCTAAAAATTACAAAAAATAAATATAAAATTGTTAAGTTCCGAAATAATTATTCCCATAATAATTCACTAAAATTTCTGTATCAATGTATTTTTTATTCTAAAAATTACAAAAAATAAATATAAAATTGTTAAGTACCGAAATAATTATTCCCATAATAATTCACTAAAATTTCTGTATCAATGTATTTTTTATTCTAAAAATTACAAAAAATAAATATAAAATTGTTAAGTTCCGAAATAATTATTTCCATAATAATTCACTAAAATTTCTGTATCAATGTATTTTTTATTCTAAAAATTACAAAAAATAAATATAAAATTGTTAAGTTCCGAAATAATTATTCCCATAATAATTCACTAAAATTTCTGTATCAATGAGAAAATTTCTTCTCACAGGTCACAATTGGAGTTGAGCCGGTGATCTAAAATATTACAAATTAGATTTGTAACAATGATAACCCCCAAAAATTCCTAATTTAAAAATCAAAAAACAAATCAAAGAACAATTTATTTATTGAAATTAAATTATATAAAAATTGAAGAAAATTGTCTGTTGAGAATGTATATGAAAAATCCTTTTTCTTTTCTGGCCAATTTTCGGTAGGCGGGCAGATTTGAGATGGTTAGAAGCAATGGGTTTGATGGGCGGAGTCTAGGAGAGAAAAAATTAAAAATTTAAATAATTAATTTATTAAAAACAAAAATAAAAAATAAATCAAGTATATCAATACTTGACATTCCCCACAATTTTAAAAATATTTTCCGCCGGGAAAATAACCTATTAATGCTTGTTTGATAGTTCCCTCCTAATCCCTCTTTTTAGTGATCTCCTGGCGTTCCTGAATGTAATATTTCCAATCCTATCAGGACTCTCAGATTCCTCTTCCCCACTTAAAATTTCTAACGTCTTGATAGACGGTTTCGGTGTTGCTAACCTTATTTCCCTCTGACTAAAATTATTGGCTCTCTTTCTGAGTATACCCCTAATTTTAAATTTTTAAATAAAATTCATATATCTTATATGTCCACTTAATGAGTATAATCAAAACCACAATTCTAGTCAGTATCAACCAATAGTCTATTTTTCCTATTATCAACCCCCATGGAGAAATGTCTTCGAGGCTACTCGATCCTCCCCCTTTCGATAAAGGTGATGATTCGGTCGAAATTTCAAAATTATATTTGAAACATTTCTGGGATTCTGGGGGAAACATTTCTGGGATGCTATTTGAAACATCTCTGGGATGCGATAAACCTATATTTGCCGATTGGTGAGCATGGCCAGTATTCTATGTTTTCATTTATCCATTTTCCTTCGATAAGGCTGGATTTTGAAAGTTTTCTAACTAGTAGGGTTGGATTTGTATACTGTCGGTTACTCATTGCCTGTTCTATGTAATTTGAAAAAATGAGAAAAGAAGAAAGAGAGAAAAAAAATGATAGACATTTATAGAGGGATTTGAATGAAATTAATTTGAAAAAAAAAGATTATATGAAAGAGAGAGAGAGAAAAAAATGAAGATTCTATTTACATTTATTGGCAATCATTTATATTTCAAGCGGGAAAAGGTGCTTAGTTGCTCTCTCCATTATTTTATTTCCTACTCTTACTTTCGCTGTTCTTGTCGATACAAGTTCTTCAACTCGAGCTAGTTTCCAACGAGACCTAGGAGTATTTATGTCTGAAATTATTACCACATCACCAGGCTGAGGAAATTTAGTGTTTACATTGTGTTGACTACTATAATGTTTATCCCTTAATTCCATTAAGTAAGTTTCTCTCCACTTTTCCCAAAAGTTATGAATTATATTCTGTGATTTTGCGTAGCTATTTACTAAATCTTGTCTACTACTTTTATCGATATAAAAGTCAGGATCTTCGGTATCTATTGGCTTTGGACTTATATCTAGATTACTATTGTTCATCGTCGGGAAAGCTAAGTCTATCGGTCTCAAAGGCTTGATAGCTTCTGACTCCGACATGTACGACAATGGTCTCTCATTTACAATTCTTTCTACTTCGATAAGTAGTGTCCATAGTTCTTCTAAAGTTAAAAGTTTATTCCTTATTTCTCTTTTCAAGTGATACTTGACTGTTCCTATCATTCTCTCATACATCCCGCCTTTCCAAGGAGCAAAAGGGGTAATGAATATCCATTCTATTTCATTTTTATTACTATTGTTCTGTACCTCTGGGTCTTGATAGACCTTGTTCCAAAGAATATTTTCTTCTGCGTTTTCTTTTTGTAACTTCTTGATTGCTTTACTGCCTAAAACAAAATTGGTTCCATTGTCTGATATTATTCTTCTCGGGGTACGCCACCTTCTTACAAATCTTGTAAACGCTAGTAAAAATTTTTCCGCTGATGCGTCTGTTACTAACTCTAAATGAATATTTCGAGAAAGTGCACATACAAATATAGTGCCCCAAACCTTTTGTTTGTTTTCGCTTTTTCCTATTTTAACTACCATTGGTCCAAAGTTGTCGATTCCGACGTTTTCCCATATCTCTTCGCCTTTCACTCTACATCCCGGCAATGGAGGTGCTTTTGGGTACTGGTAAGCTTTTGCGAAATGCCTTGCGCACCAGTGACATCTGGTAGTTGGATTCTTTTTTATTACTGATATTATCTTTTGCCTAATACCGGGTACCCAAAATTTTTGCCTGATAGCTGCTGACAAATTTTCTGGTCCGGCATGTTTTCTTTCTTTATGTAGGTCTACTATCATTAGTTCTGTGACCCTGTTATTTCTCGGTAAGTATATTGGATGAATTATTTCTGCTTCTAACTCACTATTTTCTATTCTGCCTTTTACCCGCCAAATGTCTTCAATTTTAATCAATTCCAGATTTTTTGAAATGTGTGCACTTGGCGGATTACTTTTTTGAATTTCTTTGATAAGAAATTTTTCTGCTAATTTTACTTCGGTTGCCGTTGGGCTTGCGATATCTTCTATTTTTGATTTTATGCCTTTTTTCTTTTTCTTTTTACTATTTTTAATATTTTCTAAAAATAATTTTACTGCGCGTAAAAAATATGCCGTTGCGTTTTTAAGCCTTTTATATTGCGAGAAACGTGAATAGTCTATTAATGGCTGGATAGCCTCAATAGTTGTCATTGACATTTCTAGCGCTGGCTGATTACTCTCCACTAAAACAAATGACATGGGATCAAATTCTTTAATACTTTTGGGCCATTTATCTTTACTTTTAGCTAGCCATTCGGGCCCTTCAAACCAATTTCTGTTACTATTTAATTGTTCTGGAGTACAACCTCGGGACGCTAAATCGGCAGGGTTGCTTTTCCCATCGATATGGGCAACAAAATATTTTCTTATCTCTTTTACCCGATTTTTGATGAATCTATCTTTTTCTTTGTTAGAATTTAAAAAATCAATTACATCTGCCGAGTCTGTCCAGATTTTTATATCACTAATGTTTATTGATTTTTCTAGCTCTGATTTTACAAATTTAACATTAGTACAACAGATTTTTGTAGCGTGTAATTCGAGGCAAGGTATAGTTCTTTTTGCTTTATTTAATGCAGATGGTACTACTAGACTTTTTGCGAATGCTAACTGTGTTTTTATGGTCTTGCCGTCAGTTATACGTAAATATATTGCGCATCCTATTCCGATTGCTGATGCATCGGAGAATCCATGTAACTCAAAATTTAATTTACTTTGACTCATTTTACTCGAAAAATGACGCGGAATTACAATCTCTTGACTGTCCCACTTTTGCATTAATTCTTTCCATTCGATAATGAAATTATTTTCTGCTTGCGTGTCCCATTTTAACTTTTTATTTTCTTCCAATTTCTGCCTTAATAATTTGCCTTGTAATATAATTGGACTTATCAGCCCTAGAGGATCGAATGGTTGAGCTATTGCTGATAAAACATTGCGTCGCGTTACAGTTTTTTCTTTCGGATATTCTTTTAGTTTTATTGATATATTGTCTTTATTTATGTCCCAGTTTAAACCTAGTAATTTAGTTTTATTTTCTTGTAATTTGTCACATTCGGGTATTTCTGAGCATTGTTTCCAAGCATTTGAAGTAAATTCTCTCACATTCATGTTTGCTTCTTTAAAAATCTTTTTCAATCTTAGATAAGTTGAAAAAATTTCTTCTGGATTTTCTATACCTAATAATAAATTGTCTACGTATTTATCTACTTCTAATTCTTTTACCAATTGACTGTTATATTTTTTATAATGGTGTTTTAGAACAATCGATAAGTGTGTTGGGCTACATATTACCCCGAAAGTTACTCTACAAAAGCGATATTCGATAATACTGCTTTGTTCATTATTTGGGTCTGAATACCAGAGAAATCTAAGTGCGTCTCTGTCATTTTGGTTGATACCAATTTGCAAAAACGCTTTTTCTATATCGCAAGTGATAATGTATTTTTTCAATCTCGCTCTTAATAAAATTCCTGTAAGATCATTGTACAATTTTGGTCCCTTATTTAGACATTGATTTAGACTTGGAAGCTCCTTCCTTAATTTTGCACTCGCATCAAATACTATTCTAATTTTTGTGAATTGTTTATCTGCACGTTCAACATAATGGTGTGGGAGATAATGAGTTACTGCTCCTTTTTCCCTTGGAGCTTTTTCTATTATCCCCTTATTAAATTGATCTTGCATAATTTCGTTATATGATTGTATTAATCCTTTTTCTAGCAATTTTTTCCTAGTAGACTTTAACCTTCCTAGTGCCAGATAATAATTATCTGTAAGATTATTAACTTCTTCATTCCAAATTAATTTAACTTCGTACCTATCGCCGTTAAAAGTCAGATTTTCTTCGAATTCTTTTAGCCACTTTTCGTTCTCGTCAACATTTGTATCACCTAACCCGATGGTCTCTAGTTGATTGTGTCTATTGACTAATTCATTCAATTCTTTTTCTTCAAAATTTTTTAGTGAATGCTCGGGCTTTTCAAACTCGATAGTTTGTTCGAAAGTGGCACTAACTATTGCTTTTTCTTTTTTAGAGTCTTGCTTGCTTATTTTGCCTTCACCTGAGATTATTGTTCCTATTTTTGACGAACTTATCCAAAATCCGTTGGCCAACTGTTCCATTGGCTTTATGTCTAGGTGGTTATAGAAATCTCCGCCTATTAATAATTGTGGTTCCTCTAGCCTGGGTGTTACTAATATTTTATTCGAAATTAATTTTTCTAAGTCTTTTTCTCTAAATGGCACTCTTGGTAGTTTTGGCATTACTTTGTTTAATTCTCGCGCTTTAATTAGCATATTTATATCATCGCTTTTTATTCCTAATTCTACTATAGATGCTTGATAGCATCCTAAGTCTGAACCTCCTAGTCCTTTTAAGTCAAAATTTATGTTATCGATTTCAGGTAAGTCTAATTCTTTGATAAGATTTTTTGAAATATAACTCTTTTCACTTCCGTCATCTAAAAATGCTATTATTTCTTTATTTAATTTAGGAGTTAGTGGATTATAAATTTGAATTTTTGCGCATTTTAAAAGTGATTGAATTTCTTGCGGTTGCTTTTGACAACTTTTTAATGAAACTGAATTTTCTATGTTTTCGTTGTCCGACTTGTGCTCGATAGTACTAGTGGACTGTTCATAGCTTTTTCTTTTAGGACATATTGCTGGATGATGCATTCTTCTATTGCACAAAAAACATTTTTTGTCTAGCTGTGGGCATTTTGTCAATGAATGTCCACTTTTGAGACAAATGACACATAATTCTTTTTTAATACATAAATTTTCGCGCTCCTTGATTGTTGGAAATTTTCTACAATCTAATGCGAAATGTCCTAAAATATTACAGAAAAAACATGGAAATTTAGAAGGACTTCGACTTCTGCTTGAACTTTGACTTCTATAGTTATATCGCCTACTCGAATAATTATCCCTTGGATTATATCTATTTCCATCGCTTTGATAAGCTTTAAATCTGTTTGGGCTTCTGCTTCGACTTGAACTTGAGTCCCTATTAAATTTATTGTTAGTCTCGTTCGGCCATGGTGAACCTCTTGTTTGGTGTGGATTGCGATGTGCGTTACGGTAACTTGATTGGGATGAAGATCTACTTGTACTTTGATTCCTATCCTGATTTTGATAACCACGAATATCATTTCTAGCTTTCCTATCGCTTTTTTCGGATTTATACCTTACGGCTAAATTCATAGTTGAATCGCGTGTTTCGCTGCTTTCTCTATATCTTTTGCCTTCAGACTTATTTTCACTCCTTAAATATATTTCGTTGACAATATTTAGTTGCTCGATAGCTTTCTGATATGTTTTCCTAAAAAGTCCTGTTGACCATTCATTTTTGTTTGGATCTTCCATTTTTAAATCAATATATCTTTGTAAGACCTTTTTGGACATTTTCTGCTCTAAGTTTAGATAAACCTGTGGTGAACTTAAGTCTTGGTCTAAATTTTCTAACTGCCTTGATAGGCGTTCAATATCTAATTGTAATTTCTGGTCATCCTCTATTTGCCTCGCGTTCGGGAGTTTTGATAATTTATTGTGCAAGTCTCTAATCTGATTTTCCTTTTTACCATATTTCTCCTTTAACAAATCTATAGCTAGTAAATAATTATCATCTGAGAATGGTACTAGTCCTTGAATCACCTTCCTAGCTTCTCCTATTATTAATGAGTCTAGATAGGTCATTTTTTGAACAGGGTCTAAGCTAGTGTCAACATGAATCGTTGTTTCGTACAAAGGCCAAAATTGGTCCCACTTAGTTCCATCAAATTCCTTAAGAGTTAATGCTGGTAGTACTACATTGCGGCGGTTGCCGTTTCCTCTATACCCTTCAAGTAACAGCTTGATAGCTGTCCTCGCGTCTCTTATCGCTTTTATTTTAGTGTTCGCCCTTGTCAAGAAAGCTTGCAATTCGTGCGGGGTTATATGCTCTCTGTACGCTGCGTCTAATTCGGCGCGAACTACTGTCCCTGATGCCTGACATAATTCACTAAATCTAGCTCTGCAAGATCTAATTTCTTCTGTTTGTGTAAGTAATTCGTCATGATTTTCTTTTAGCATTGACTCTTTACATTCTAATATGTGTTTTTCACGCGGAGTATTTATCGCCTGCGGAATTACTGGTATCTCAGTGTCTAGATACATTTCAATGACATCCCGTGCAGTCTGAATCCTTTCTATATAAATTGCGGCCATTATTAATCTTTACAATTTATTTTTAACCCTTCAAACTTTTTACTTTAGAATTTATACTTACTACTACTTTAATAAAAGTTGGATAACTTTTATTTTTAATTAATCTTTTAGCTTTAATTTATGCGGGTGCACGCTTTCGTTGTGAGAGAGGAAAAAATTTGAGATTGGATAATAAAAGAATAAGTTTTTTAGAAAAAGAAAAATTGAACGGGAGAGAGGAAAAAATGAATTTAGTTATTAAACAAATTTAAAATTTAAAACTTATTTTTAGAGGGGAGTTTATTGAAGAGACGAAAAATTTAATTATTAGAAGAGACGAGAACAAATTAAGAGAAAAAAGATTTGAGGAGATAAACAGAGAAAATTTAAATAGTTTGATACTAATTTAAAATTTAAAAAAAAATTGTAAGAGCGTTTATTAGAGAGAAAAATTTGAAACAGATTTTTCTTTCTCTAAATTATTCGAAAGCTGGATAGCTTTCTTGTAATTTTCTAAGAAAAAATTTCTTTTTCAGAATAATTTTAAAAATTTTCAAAAAATTTTTCTTTTCAGCGCTTCTAAAAGTTTCTAAAAGAATTTTTTATCCTTTAACAATTTCTAAATTTTTCAAAAAAAATTTTATTTAAAGAGAATTTCCCTTTTACTTTTAAATTTGCAATAAAGAAGGAAAATTAAAAAAAATTTTTAGTCCCCTTTTTGAGAAAAAATTCTTTTCCTAGTCGGCTCTTCTATTTAAGCGCCAACTTTCCTTTTAAATGTTCAAAAATTCTTACTCTTTCCTTTTTTCTTTCTTAAACACAGATGTGCTTTTAAATTTATCGCGCGGAAAAAGGAAGATAACAGTAGTATAAATGAAAAGAGGAATTTAAAGAATATAGCTTTCACAAAAGAAAGAAAAAAAATTTTTGAAAAAATTTTTGATTGGCTCTAAAAATTTCGAAGAAAAATTCTTTTTAACCCTTTACAAAAATTTAAACTTTATTTTCTTAAACACAGATGTGTTTTTCTTTTAACTCGTAACAGAACGGAATTTTAAAATTTTTGGCTTTTACAAAGAAATTTATGTCGGCACTGTTTGTTTACACCAAAAATATTTCTTTTTAATCTTTCTTAAAAAAATTCTTTACTTTCTGTCTTTCTTTTAAAGCCCAGATGCGCTTTAAACACCTTTAAACACTTTCCGCTCAAAAATAAAAATGCCAATAATATTAGATTAAAGGGATAGATGCGACTTTTCAGATATGAATAAAGAAAAGGAAAAATGATTTAAAATTAATTCGGCCCTTTTTTATTCAGAGAAACAGAATTAAGAGAGTAATTTTTTGGAAGAGAAAAACTATCTCTTCCTTATTAGATTACCGTAATATTTTTCTAAAAAAATTTTTTCTTTATTGTTTTGGATAGAGCAATCACTTTTGTTAATTTTTGGAAAAAACTTCCTAGAAAAAAAATTTTTTAAATTTTCAAAAGAATTTAAAAATTACAAAAATTCTAAAAAATTTACAAAAGAATTTTCAGAAAATTTCTAGAAAAATTTTAGAAGAGGAAAAGATTTTTAGAATAAGAGAGAATAGTAGAAAAATTTAGATATTTCTTCAATTTTATTTTGTTTATTTTTTAGAGAAGGTCCCTTTTTTGCAAAAAAATAATTTATTTTTATTTGTACACCAGATGGCTTCGCTTTTTTTGCCAAAATGCTAAATTTTGTGCCCAAAGACCTATCTAAATACGCGCGTTTAGTGTTCTTTTTGTTTGGGCCCTCTTAAAATTTTCTTCTCAAATGTTTATTTTTTATTCGCTGTGTCACTATTGTATTAGATAATACTAATAGTGTAATAAAAAGCAGAGAAAGGCACGCCAAAAAAAATCACTGCCAAAAATTCTTCTATTCTTTACAGAGGAAAAATTATATGTATTTGATAATACTGTAATTGTTCCCCAAAATTATTTCAGTTTGAAAATTTAACGGGGGGTATACCAATAGTAAATTTGAATAGAGAAAAAAATTGGAGAAATTGGAAAATTTTAATAAGATTGAGAGAATTTGAAAAATTTGGGAAAATTTAAAGGATTGAAAAAGAATTATCTAAAAAATTGGGAAGATTTAAAGGGATTGAGAAAAAATTTTTTAAACAAATTGGGAGAATTTTAAAAAATTGGGAAAATATTGAAAATTGGAAGATTTGAAGAGAGAGAGATTAAAATAAAATTTTTTAAATAAATTAATAAATTTTTTGAAGTATAAAAAAAAAATATAGAAAATTAAATTTTTAGAAAATAGAAGAAGTGGAGAGATTAAGGAATTAAATTTAAAAATTAATTATTTAAAAAAATTATTTTTAGAAATGAAATTATTAAATTAATTTTTTTTTTTTTTTTTAAAAAAATAAAATTTTTATTTGAAGTTTAAATTTTTAAAAAAAATTTAGTTAATTTTAAAAAATTTTTGTTTTTTCGAAAAAGCTTTTATTAAAAAATTTTGCTTTTCTTTTAAAAAATCTTAAAAAATTTATTTTTCTTTTTATTTTATTTTTTGATTTTAAAATTTAAACCCACTTTTTCCAAATTGATGCAGGTTTCACAAATTTGATCCTTGGTTGAACTGGAGTCGCCACTGAGAAAATTTCTTCTCACAGGTCACAATTGGAGTTGAGCCGGTGATCTAAAATATTACAAATTAGATTTGTAACAATGATAACCCCCAAAAATTCCTAATTTAAAAATCAAAAAACAAATCAAAGAACAATTTATTTATTGAAATTAAATTATATAAAAATTGAAGAAAATTGTCTGTTGAGAATGTATATGAAAAATCCTTTTTCTTTTCTGGCCAATTTTCGGTAGGCGGGCAGATTTGAGATGGTTAGAAGCAATGGGTTTGATGGGCGGAGTCTAGGAGAGAAAAAATTAAAAATTTAAATAATTAATTTATTTAAAACAAAAATAAAAAATAAATCAAGTATATCAATACTTGACAATCAATGTATTTTTTATTCTAAAAATTACAAAAAATAAATATAAAATTGTTAAGTTCCGAAATAATTATTCCCATAATAATTCACTAAAATTTCTGTATCAATGTATTTTTTATTCTAAAAATTACAAAAAATAAATATAAAATTGTTAAGTTCCGAAATAATTATTCCCATAATAATTCACTAAAATTTCTGTATCAATGTATTTTTTATTCTAAAAATTACAAAAAATAAATATAAAATTGTTAAGTACCGAAATAATTATTCCCATAATAATTTACTAAAATTTCTGTATCAATGTATTTTTTATTCTAAAAATTACAAAAAATAAATATAAAATTGTTAAGTTCCGAAATAATTATTCCCATAATAATTCACTAAAATTTCTGTATCAATGTATTTTTTATTCTAAAAATTACAAAAAATAAATATAAAATTGTTAAGTTCCGAAATAATTATTCCCATAATAATTCACTAAAATTTCTGTATCAATGTATTTTTTATTCTAAAAATTACAAAAAATAAATATAAAATTGTTAAGTTCCGAAATAATTATTCCCATAATAATTCACTAAAATTTCTGTATCAATGTATTTTTTATTCTAAAAATTACAAAAAATAAATATAAAATTGTTAAGTTCCGAAATAATTATTCCCATAATAATTCACTAAAATTTCTGTATCAATGTATTTTTTATTCTAAAAATTACAAAAAATAAATATAAAATTGTTAAGTTCCGAAATAATTATTCCCATAATAATTCACTAAAATTTCTGTATCAATGTATTTTTTATTCTAAAAATTACAAAAAATAAATATAAAATTGTTAAGTTCCGAAATAATTATTCCCATAATAATTCACTAAAATTTCTGTATCAATGTATTTTTTATTCTAAAAATTACAAAAAATAAATATAAAATTGTTAAGTTCCGAAATAATTATTCCCATAATAATTCACTAAAATTTCTGTATCAATGTATTTTTTATTCTAAAAATTACAAAAAATAAATATAAAATTGTTAAGTTCCGAAATAATTATTCCC